GTTATGCTCTGTGGTGGCAGAGACCCACTGTTATTTAGTCCCGATGAGACTTCGACGGATCATGACCTGTACCCAAAAGTTCAAGACGTTGACATAAAGGACTACCTCGTCGGAAAGACGAGTTTTATTACAAGGGAGCAGTTCAAGGCTCATAAAGCGCTAGAGGCGCACAACTTCCTGACGAGTGGGTGGGTTCAGGCTCCACGGCTGAAAGTTCTACCCTGCCGCAACGTTGTCGTCATCGGAAAGGTAGGCACTACCTGCCTGTTACTTTAAACGCGACACATGTGCGACGAAACCGTCCGACCCGGCGAAACGGCGATCGACTCCGACTTGCCTGGTCGAGTGGGAACGTCGGATAGGCCTGACCGTCCGTCCGATTACTCTGCGCCGATATGCGTCCCGTAGATCGTCGCCTGCCCAACATTACGACACGACCAAACAAATCGGACCCGACTGTCGTTTCGCCGGATAGGGCAGTTTCGTCGCACATCTTCCTCGCATGCTTAAATGTTTACATAACGTTAGGTTTTCTTATTGTACTCAGTTTTAATGTAACTTCCAACGGCTGAGGGTCCCCACAGATCTGCTTGCAGCTTTATTTCTATGCTGGATACACTAAGTTTTTAATAGCAAACGTGAGGCAGGCGGTGCAACTATTTCAGTTAATATTGTTGTTTTGTCATTCAATTTCAGGTAAACCACTCCCAAAGCACCAGGGAAGCCTGCCTGCAGCCCTGGTTGCTGGTGAAACCAGATGGCGAGGTCGTCCTAGCACACTGTGACTGCATGGCTGGACTTGGTGAAGCGTGTTCGCGTATTGGAGCAGTGTTGTTCTACCTAGAGGTCGTCGTCAAACACAGGGACGCAAGGGCCTGCACAGAAAAAGACAACATGTGGCTGCCAGCCTACTGTAACAACTTGGAGTGTGTGCCCATTTCGAAAGTGGACTTTTCATCAGCCACCGCCAAGAAACGGCGAATTGACGAAGCACAGCCGTCTCACTTGCAAGCCCTGCGGTCACCCAAACCAGCAGCCTCGCGGCCAGATGATCAGCAGTGGGCCCAGTTCCTCGCCGATGTCAGCAGTGCAGGCACAAAGCCTGCGTTTCTGTCCCTCGTGGACGACTACGCCGAGCAGTACGAGCCCACAGCGTCAAAGTACAAGACTGCCGTGCTGAGCAACATGTTCAAGAAAGGAGTGCAGCCGTCATGGGACATCATCTTGAAAGAATGTGAAAAGGTTGCCAGCGGCATTCACATTGAACCCAACGTAAGCATTCGAGTTCAGTGTCTCATGATGAAAAAATGGTGCAGGCAAGATGGAGAAATTCTAATTTAGGAACTTACGTGCCAGACCAGCGAACGGCATCCAGCACGCCCAAGTGAACGACTGAGGATTAATTTAATTTCATTTACTTATTATACTCTCAGGGCCCGAAGGCATTACAGAGAGGAGTGGGATTAAACAGCAATATAAACTGAATGAAAACAAAACGCCAAAAAAAGAAAACACTAGGTACAGATCTTGACCATGTGGGAATCTTTTGATGTGCAACCGAAATATTTATTACAATGCACCTTCTCTACAATAAGCTTCCATCATATTGTGGGCATCTTGGCCAGGGTTCGAACCCGCAAATCTAGCCGCTCGTCCAACTAAGTGAAGGACTACCGTGTTAGGTTAATTTATGTCATGGTTGTATCAATGTTTCCCATCCTTCTTGTTTGTTTGCCCATTTTGTTTCTTGAAATCCTTATTCTTATTGCAGGTGCTGACACTAATCGAAGAAGAGACAAGACCACAAACTTCATGCAGGAAGTGGTTTGTTTTTCGTGCGGGCAGGGTGACTGCTTCCAATGCCAAAGCCGTGTGCGCCACATCGGTAGGAAGTCCGTCAGAAAGTCTGACTCAACGGCTCTGTTACCCGGACAGTCACAGATTTACAACAAAAGCCACGGCTTGGGGTAATGAGAAAGAAGAAGGTGCAAGGGAAATGTACATAGATGCCCAGTCCACTCGCCATGTAAACTTCCAGTGCCGTAAGTCCGGACTCCACTTAAGTCCTACTCATCCATGGCTTGGAGCGTCGCCAGATGGTGTTGTTAGGTGCGAGTGCTGTGGGGAAGGCGTACTTGAAGTGAAATGCCCGTACAGTGGTCGGGACTGCACCATCGTAGAGTATATCTGCCTAGAGAGTAGTAGCCTGGCTCTCCCCGACGGAGAGTGCATGCAACTGAAAAGAAAGCATGCTCATTTCTACCAAATCCAGATGCAAATGTATGTTTGTAATTTGAGTTATTGTGACTATGTAGTGTGGACCACCAAAGAAATCTACATCGAGAGGATCAGCTTTGATGTTGAGTTCGCCGAGGCTATGGTTTCGAAGTGCACAAACTTCTTCAAGTGTGTGCTTCTGCCAGAGCTGCTTTACAAGGCATTTTCAAAGCCTCGGGAAGAACGCAAAGAGAACAGGGCTACATATTGCTATTGCAATGGACCAGAGCAGGGCAAGATGGTGCTCTGTGACAACCCCCAGTGTGAGCAGAAGTGGTTTCACTGGAAGTGTGCAGGCATTAAAAGAGCACCACGCAAACAGTGGCTCTGCAACCACTGCAAATGAAAGACTATGTTCCGACGAATGGGGCTCAAGGCTGTGCAATAGACTTCATCCAAGCATACCGTAAAATCCCGATAGATGCCACACTCCCGAAAGGTGGCCCACTACGTTTTGCTTGAGTTTATATATTTTTTTAGACACCGAAGGATAGCCCACTTATAGTAATAGTAGTGTTGGGATCCATGATAGCCTCGGCACGTAAATGTGGCTAGTTAGCTGCAGTGGCCAAGTCGAATTTGGGGGTTTTACGTGCCAAACCAACGACGGGCATCTGGCACGCCCCAGTGGAAGACTGAGGATTAATTTGGACCACCTGGGGATCTTTTGACGTGCACCCGAAAGCTCGATTACAAGGCGCCTCCTCCGCAATAAGCCTCCGTCAGATTGTGGGCACCTCGGCTAGGATTCGAACCCGCCACATGGGTATCTGTAGGCCAGCGCTGTCGCCTCGGAGCCACCGAGGCGGCTTTAACTGCAGCGGGATATACCCGATCATTGATGACTGCGAAGCAGTCATCTTTACTTTGTTGCCCCTCGCTACGATAAGTTTGGAAGGAAAGCATGACCTGAAAATATAATGGTTTCAACTTTTCTTGATTGTCTACTGAAAGTTAGCCCACCACATATTTTTACCAGATTTTCCCTTGATTTTAGGTGGGCTATCTCTCGGGATTTTACGGTAAATGGTTTCAAGTGTTTGCAGAGTGTGGAAACCAACCTCAAGAGAGGTGGAAAGAAAATAAAACTGTTTAATGTGATTGTGATGTATTGAAACAGATTGAATGGTGCTGTGCAATGATCCTCAATGCAAGTGAAAATGTTTATTTCTAAGTCTGTTTGCATGAAAACACTGCAATAAACTTCACACAAGTATAAATGGTGTCGTTTCATGTGCTGGCATAGAGTTTCAGGAAAACAGGGCCCCAAGAAAAGAGGTGCAAAGAAAACAGAACTGTGTATTCCGACTGTGATGGGTCAAACGGGGCAAAAAAGTGCTTTGCAATAATTCTCAATGCGAGTGAACTGATCCCCTTGAAGTATATGGGTACAAAAAGCATGGAAACACTGGTTCTTCAAAACAAGGCAAAAAGGTGCTGTACAATGAACCCTCAAAAGGGTAAATGGTTTTGTTTTACTAATTGGTGTGAAAGAAGTTAAACAAAAACTGGTTCTGCAAACACTTTCGATGAGACGTGTGCAATCGGTATTTAATCATCGGCAAGTGGTGTCCAAAAACCATGCAGTTGCTCTGTACATTCTCAGAAAGATTGGGAAAAGAGGACAGATTGTGCAACATGTGACCCATTTGCTGGCAGTTCGAAGGTATGGAACCCCCACTGTGTTGAGAAGCTTAGAATCGATTTCTTGGAAGGTGAAAATGAAGAACCGAGAGTACCTTCCATGATGGTCGAGAGCACCAAAGTCGACCATCATGGAAGGGATCGCAGACGTGCAAGGTGGCTGAAGTGCTGACAGTACAATTGCTCGAAAAAGCATGCAACAGCAATGTGTGACCCGCGCTACAATGTGAAAAAAAAAACAATGTTAATGTGCAAATTGCAAATATCACAAAACAGTGCTGCAGTCATCCGTGAAGGTTGAGCAGAGGGAGGATATGGTAAAAGTAACCGACGGTAAAATGCGGATATGAGGCTTGTAGTCTTTTGTTCCAATTACTGATCCATGTCAGTTGAACTGCACAACTGAGTCGCACAGGCTGGTCAGTGCACAGCAGACAAAAACAATCTTGTCCAAGGTAGTTGCATGATCCTGGCCCTCTGCGCAAAGCAAATCGATTGGTATGACACTTTTTGTAATAACATACTTATTTCGAATCAAGCCGATGACTCGTTCGACATGAATGCGGACATTTGCCAGCTTACGGGTCGCCTCAACACTCCATGGTGCCAACTGCTTCTGCCCTCTCGTGAAGGCTGGCATGTGGAGGCGAGCACAATACAGGCCTACGGACTCCTCGATAGTGAATCCCCTGTCCGCTAGGATACAGTCTCCAGGCTGGAGATTCTCTAGGATTCCCGAGCTCTCAGCTATCAGTTTATCACTGCTTCGCCCGCACCATCCTCGAGATATGAATGTCACTGTCCCCTGTGGTGCAATGCCGATCAAGTACTTAACAGTGTTATGATGTTTATACTGTGACCAGGTCAGTGACCTGGCCATGTGGGATGTGGGCCTCTCTATAAATACCTCGAAGCAGTCAATAATGACTGCAACGTCAGTGCCAAACGCAGCACGAAAGCACATTGGCATCGTCCGCTTCAGCTGTTTCCTGGTTGGCCACCTGATGACTCTGTCGAGGCCCAAGTAGAGACCGTCAACCCACTTTGCAATGCTTCTAGAGATGGTTGCCTCAGACACCTCAAATCTGCAAAAAAGAAGCATCAAAGTATTAAGAAACAGCCATCTAGTGGCAATATATCATGTGATGTTACCTGTAGGCCAGATCTCGCAGTGGGGTGTTCAGACGAAGTCTAATAAGAGTTACAATGAACTCCTGAAACTGTGTGAGGACATTGTTTGGGCTATGCCTCACCAACTGCTTCACTAGTTTAAATACCATGTGGAGCATGCTGAAGTTGGGGAGCCCAGTGTAGTATTTTGTCAGCTCCTCGTTATTTTGAAAGGTTTCCTCCGTGACGCTTTTCCTCTCCAGATTTTCACGTAGGAAGTACACTTCCAGTCGTAGGATGTTCAACTCTTTCTGATATTGTACCACTTGCTTATGTGCCCCATCATCAGCTTGCATTCCTGAAAATACGCAAAATGTGAATGACATGAAAAGCCCAGCCCTCGTACCTCCACATGGGGTTTCACCCTATTTAATCTTCAATATGAGAAACATACCCTTGTCTGCTACGGGCTTCTCCATGATTGAGACGACTTCAGCACATATTGTGCTCGTGGCAGGCAGATCTGTACAATAATAAAGTAAGATCAACATGAGTGTAACAATCATTTGCACTCTTCGTAGAAAACTTCCACAGTTTGGGCCAATCAAGACGCAACAGATTCATGTACCAGGATGTCAATATTTGTGTCCCTGATGATTGCTGATTTTTTTTTTTAGTTCCTTACATCTACAATGCTTTGATTAGAGTTTCGAAAAACCCATAATGTGGGGCATCATCATGTGACAGAACATACCCAACCTTTTAACTAAAGTGGGGGAGGTAGCTGGGGTGCTCAGGCAGCAGAGTGATTGCCAAGTGTGTTTTGGCCCCTATCTCAAAGGCAAGAAGCATAATGAGAATGAATGTTTTATCTCATCAGTCACGCTATGTTATCGCAACAGATTTTGGAACATTTGAGTACTATGTGACCTTTTTGAATGGTCCTGCTGTGAAAATGACGCATGTGAAGGTTACATTGTCTCACACAATTGGCCACAGATAATCTAAGAGGGGTTGTTAAAGCGCAAATAGGAAGAATGTGACTCCGACAGAATAAATCAGTTGTTCACTTCATGCTGTGATATTGATAGATAGCCAAAACATGCTCGGCAAGCGGTCAACTGCCCTGAGCATCAAAAGTACCTCCACCAATCCCAGTGAGAAGGATGGGCATGTTCCTTTGTGTGATGGCCAGTTAAAATGATAGCTGTTAGGACAGCGCCCCCCCCCCCCCCTTGAAAAGTCAGGTGCTCGCTCGTAAGGCAGCATGAGGGTTGAAGAGCACAGTACTACTGCATCCAATCTGAGCTGACACGCCATGACACGTGACGCCCAGTACTATCACAGCTGCCTGTCGGATTTTTCTGCAAACCCTCAGTGTGTGCCAAGACAAATTCCTTCTTGTGCCATTGCACCCCTCTGCGCTTCCATGTTGTCTGCAGCCTCAGTGGCAGGCACGCCAGTGGATGTTCGCTTGGCGACAGGATTACATTTTGCAGCATTACCTGTTAAGCCATGCTAGCCAGAGATTGTGATGCCCGTAGAACACACACCTCCCCCCACCCCCCACGCCCCGTCCCCTGGCCTGGCCCCCTGCCTGGGGAGGTTCACGGCGTTCCTAAAAGTAGCACCATTCTTAAGCATTCACCGGAAACTCTCGTACCAGCTGTGTGGGCCATTGCGGGGTTGCATCCTCCGTGCAAGTAACCCGCATCGGGATTAGTGATGGAGTCGTCGGCGTCAGGTCCTGGCTCGGGCGTGGTGTTTGCGGCTGACCGTTCTGTGAAAAGGTCAAGTACATTCCGTGTAGTATCAAACTTTACCAAAGGGTTCAAGACGGTCTTAAAAGTAGCACCATTCTTAAGCATTCACCGGAAACTCTCGTACCAGCTGTGTGGGCCATTGCGGGGTTGCATCCTCCGTGCAAGTAACCCGCATCGGGATTAGTGATGGGGTCGTCGGCGTCAGGTCCTGGCTCGGGCGTGGTGTTTGCGGCTGACCGTTCTGTGAAAAGGGCAAGTACATTCCGTGTAGTATCAAACTTTACCAAAGGGTTCAAGACGGTCTTAAAAGTAGCACCATTCTTAAAGGCCGACCAACAAACAGAAAGAAGGAAACTCTCCCTCAATTCCTCCGCTCCATTTGGGAAAGAGGAAGACCCCCCTCCTCTCTACCGGAAGTAGTTCAGAGATCCGCTCCTGTGTGGAGAGGAGGGGAAAAGTGGGCGAGCACGAATGGAGAGAAGGAAACTGGGAACAGGTTTTTTCCCCGGTAGAAGACGATTCTGTAGGTCGGACTTTAAGCATTCACCGAAAACTCTCGTACCAGCTGTGTGGGCGATTGCGGGGCTGGATCCTCCATGCACGTAACCCGCATAGGGATCAGCGGTGGGGTCGTCGGCGTCAGGTCCTGGCTCGGGTGTGGTGTTTGCGGTTGACCGTTCTGTGAAAAGGGCAAGTACATTCAGTGCAGTATCAAACTTTACCAAAGGGTTCGAGACGGTCCTAAAAGCAGCATCATTATTAAGTATTCACCCGAAACTCTTGTGCCAGCTGTGTGGATCATTGTGGAATTGCATCCTCCATGCACGTAACCCGCATCGGGTTCAGTGGAGGGGTCGTCGGCGTCAGGTCCTGGCTCCGGCGTGGTGTTTGCGGCTGACCGTTCTGAGAAAAGAACAAATACATTCCGCGTAGTATCAAACTTTTCCGAAGGGTCTAAGACGGTCCTAAAAGTAGCACCACTCTTAAGCATTCACCGGAAACCCTCGTATCAGATCTGTGGGCCGTTGCGGGGCTGGATCGTCCATGCACGTAACCTGCATCAGGATCGGCGGTGGCGTCGTCGGCGTCAGGTTCTGGCTCGGGTGTGGTGTTTGCGGTTGACCGCTCTGTGAAAAGGGCAAGTACACTCCTCGTAGTATCACTTTACCGAAGGGTCTAAGACGGTCCTAAAAGTAGCACCATTCTTAAGCATTCACCGGAAACTCTCGTACCAGCTGTGTGGGCCACTGCGTGGCCGGATCCCCCATGCACGTAACCCGCACTGGGATCAGTGGTGGGGTCGTCGGCGTCAGGTCCTCGCTCAGGTGTGGTGTTTGCAATTGACCGTTCTGTGAAAAGGGCAAGTACACTCCGCGTAGTATCACACTCTACCGAAGGGTTCAAGATGGTCCTAAAAGTAGCACCATTCTTAAGCATTCACAGAAAACTCTCGTACCAGCCGTGTGGGCCACTGCGGGGCCGGATCCTCCATGCACGTAACCCGCATTGGGATCAGTGGTGGGGTCGTCGGCTTCACACCCTGGCTCGGCCGTGGTGTTTGAGGCTGATTGTTGTGTGAAACACGCAAGTACAATCAGTGTGGTACCAGAGTTTGTATTGCCAATAAATATCCATTTTTAACATACAGAAGCAAAGCACTGTGTACAGGTCTAGTTCACTCAGACAAAAATACCAGCGTTACCCAGATTCCCACGACTTACAGTGCCAACTTCAGGTCAACATTCGACACACTAACCCACTGACTGTTAATATTATGACCTGATCATGGATGCTAGTGAATGTTAGTGCTTCTCAAACATTTTCTTGCATGATGTTCACAACTGAGTAAACCAGTCAACCTCCTGAAATTTGCTGAAGATGTCATGTTAACATGTTGCAAAGGGTGCAATCATACTACAATGAGCAATTAAACTGAAGAGATTTAATCCTCAGCAGTGCAGCCTGATTTCGGCACACTTGTGGAAGCCCCTTCGACAAATTAAGCAAGGGAAATGACGCGAGTGGCAAATAGTGACACATAAAAATGAGTTGTCACAAGCTATACACACCATGCTGCGCTGGCTCCTTCTGCGATCTCGTCCTGGCTTTGTCTCGCGCTTTTAGTCGATTGTACCTGTAAATTAAGAACGTGATCTTTCGATTAGTGACAATCTGCCGTGTGTACCTCGTAACAGAATGCGACCTAACATATACGTCTTATTTACCTGGCAATTCCCCGACTAAACTTCTTCTTGTGCCCAAGCAGCAAACAAGGGGCCCAGTCTGGGTGATTAGGGTCAAAAAGAGCCGACGGTTTGCCTGGCGTTTGAAGAATCATAAACAGAGCATATAAAAAGTTAGGTGTCAACAAACAGACGCGCTGCGTACTGCCCCCGCACGCACTCACTGGCCACGAAGGCACCGTAGCAAATGTCAATACCGTGCAAATTGAATAAACTAGTTAATCAATAGAGCTTCTTACCTGTCACGAAATGCACGCTACAAATCCGATGAAACGGAGTGGCATCCTTCAGGTCGGCTCGGTTCACACGGCGGATCCATTCGCGTCGTCGGGCTGTTGATAGGTCTCGCGTCTTGCAACAGGACGTTGTGATAACCGCCGGAAATCGAAAAAATCGGACGGTATCACTGTTCGAAGAGCCGGCTTTTTTGTGGGATCGATTGCTGCATCCGAAAACAGCACAGTTTACCATAACCAAAGCAAAGGAGTGCCGGCGTGCATGCGCCTAGCTGCAGTCACAGTCGAAAAGTGGCCGTCAAGATGGCGCCCAGCGTTTCCGTCGGCTAGCCGTCGGCGGAACTAACGTCACTCACGTGACATGCGTGACGTAGGTGCAAGCCATGTATTGCGCCGTAGTCCAGGCGGGACCGCACCAAGGAGTTATAAAGTCGCAAGAGGCACCGTCTGTCAGACCCCCAGGACGTATGCGACAGGACTTTGAGGATGTTTGATGAACGTAGGCATTTATGTTTCAACTCTTTCAAGTGGGGTATAAAAGTGAGTTTTTATCAAATATTATTCCTAAAAACTTGTGTTCTTCCTTTACAGATATAGCAACGTCATTCAAGTGCAACGCTGGATCTGGAGACAGGCCACGGCGGAGTGAAAAGGGAACACAGATTGTCTTTTCGGGAGAGAACCTGAAGCCATTTTGATCAGCCCACCTGCTCATCTTATTGATAGTGAGCTGCAATTGCCGTTCACAGCTGGACAGGTTACAAGAGGAAAATGGTATGTGCACATCGTCAACATACATTGAATAGGATACAGATGGTGGTATAACCTTAGTCAGACTATTAATCTTCATGGCAAAAAGTGTAACGCTTAGTACTCCACCCTGAGGGACGCCGTTCTCCTGGAGAAAGACATCCGAAAGGATGGAGCCCAAACGCACTTGGAAGGTCCAACCCGTCAAGAAACTTTGAATGCAGTGAAGCATGCGACCTCGGACACCATACGAGTACAAGTCTCGAAGGATTCCATATCTCCAAGTCGTGTCGTAAGCCTTTTGTAGGTCAAAGAAGACAGAAACACAATGCTGGCGATGGACAAATGCTTCCCGAATAGAAGTTTCCAGGCGGACGAGGTGGTCAACCGTGGAGCGGCCGCTCGGAAGCCGCACTGATTCCTATCAAACACACCCTCTGCCTCTAAAAAGTGGACAAGACGGCGATTAATAAGTCTCTCGTAGGTCTTGCCCAGGCAGCTTGTCAATGCAATCGGGCGATAGCTCGTCGGTAAGGAGGGGTCCTTGCTGGGTTTTAGTAGAGGAATTATGTGTGCCATTTTCCAGCAGTCAGGAAAACAAGCAGCATCCCACAATAAATTAAAAAAGGTGAGCAAACTGTTTAAAGATTCAGGCGATAGTCTCCTTAGCATCTCGTATTGAATCCTATCCGGCCCAGCTGCAGATTCTTTTTTGACACCAAGAGCCAACTCAAGCTTACACCGTGGAAATGGCTTGTTATAAGGAACACCCTGGGCACCAGAAAAAGAAATAGCTTGCTTTTCTGCTGTTGCTCTAAACCTCTTAAAGGATTCACTGTAGTTGGCTGAGTTAGAGACTTCCTGGAAGTGTTCACCAAGAACATTTGCTTGCTCCTTAAGGGATGTTGCTGATGGAAAAAGGGGTATCCTGAAAGACCGACAGTCTCCCCTGATCTTCCTAAGACGATCCCACACTTCCTTTGATGAAACGAAACTACTCAGAGATGTGACATACTTTTTCCAAGAACTGCCTTTAGCTTGCCTTCGCGCCCAGCGAGCTTTGGCTCTGCTTTTCTTGAATTCAAGCAGATTCTGTGGAGTGGGATATCGTCTAAAGATGCATCATGCCTTGTTTTGCGATTTTCGTGTTGTGGTGCAGTCATTGTTCCACCACGGCTTGCACTTTTTGGGGAGTCGTCCAGAAGTCTGGGGAATGCTATGTGATGCGGAATCTATAATCGCTTCAGTAACGTACAGCGTGGCATCTTCGGGGCTCATATTTACAAGAACAGATGAATCAATAAAAGCCTCCAAACAAAAACGAGACCACTCAGCCTTTTCCAATTTCCACCTTGGAAGTCGTGTCGGAATAGAAGGAATTGGCATCGTGCTTTCTAAAACAATAGGGAAATGATCACTCCCAAAAGGGTTATTTAAAACCTTCCATGAAAAGCATGGAAGTAAAATTGGTGATGCAATTGAAAGGTCAATAGATGTGAATGATTGATGTGCTGCACTAAAAAATGTAGGTTCCCTCCCATTAAAAAGACACAACCCAGATGATAATAAAAACCGCTCTACGACGCCTCCACGTGAATCCTGGCGAGCACCACCCCACAAAGGGTGGTGGGCATTAAAATCGCCTAAAATTAAAAAAGGTTGAGGTAATTGTCTTACAAGTGACTCAAGTTCGCTGATATGCAGTGGAGAGTTTGGAGGCAGATAAAGAGAAACTACCGTGATCAAACGGTCAACAAGAAGGCGTACCGCTACAGCCTCTAAGGGCGTAGAAAGGGGGACCTCAGAGCAAGCAACACCATTTTGCACCACTAGTGCCACTCCTCCAGACGAGTTTGAGGAAATTCTGTCTTTTCTAAAAACCTGGTGCTGACGTAAAATCTGCGTATTAGTGTGATTTAAATGTGTTTCTTGGAGGCAGGGTGCAATGGGTCTCAGCTCGTCCATAAAATAATTTACGTCATCAATATTTCTGATTAGGCCACGGCAGTTCCACTGCATAAAGTGGAAATTGGTCATTGTTTTAAAATTGAGTTAAAATATAAATAAAAAAAAAACTGGGAGAATATATAAAAGTTCTAAAGCTGCTGCATGTGGCAAAAATTACTTCGTAATGTCATGTTGGTGGGATCACCGGTCTTTTGCTTTTGTTTTTACTCTTAGTAGCCTGCCACTCCATGTCGTCTTGGTCAGACGCAGGAGTGGAGACTTCACACTCATCCATGGCCTCAGTTTCCTGAGGCGAGGCTTTTCCTTCAAGGTTCTTTAGGTTTGGGGAACGGGGCGCCGTGCGCCGTCCACGACCAGACCCAGCCAAAGGGGCAAACGAGGTGCTGGGCGAAGCGTCGCCAAAGTCCACCCGTTCCTGTCCCTTAGGCGCTCCAGGTGCGGCACGAGAGCCATGCCGCTCCTTCGATGATGCTCTCTTCAGGGAGCGTGGGCGAGAGTGTCGACCCTTCTCCCTGGAAGGAGATCGCGGAGGAGGGACGGTTTCGGCAGCCACCGGCCCCTCCTGGGTTTGGGAAACAGTCTGAGAAGACCCAGGCTGTTGCCCTGTTGGAGCGCGGGGGTTCGCACTCTGGCTTGGAGGGTCCGTAGACCGCCCAGCCGAGATTGCACGCCCCGGAAGCTGAATCTTCAGCTGGGGTGTGGGGGACTGCCGTGGCTTCCCACAGTCCAGGAAGGACGTCTGGGTTGCCACTGCAACCTTCAGTGGTGCAGGTCCCCGCTGCACCACTTGGGCGTAGCCGCCTTTCTGCACGAATGCGAAGCGACGGCGTGCTTCAGGGAAAGAAAGGTTTTCCTTAACTTTCAAGGTGAGGATCTCTTTCTCGTCTTTCCATTTCTTGCATGATCTGGAATATGCTGGGTGAGGTTCTGAGCAGTTTACACAGTGTGGGTCGTTAGAACATGCATCAGCTTCATGGTCGGTTTTGCTACACTTCGCACAGGTGGCCTTTCCACGGCAGCTCTGAGAGCCATGGCCAAATCTCTGGCACTTGAAGCATCTACGGGGGTTTGGCACATAAGGCCGCAGCGCAGGTACCCAGCCCTCACAGCTTCAGGAAGGACGGTCGATTGGAAGGTGAGTACAACGTGTTTTGTTTTCAGCTCGTTCCCGTCACGACGAATGGTAATACGCCTTGCAGCTGTGACATCTTGTTCAGAGAGGCCTTCAACGATTTCACTTTCAGAGCTGTCAAGGAGGTCATCCTCGGAAATAACTCCTTGGATGCTGTTTAACGTTCGGTGCCCAGTTAAAAATAACCATTGGGTCCAATTAGTTATTGACAATTAGAACCAATGGGGAATCCTATCTGTGATTTCGGACTCCTAGTTAGAAAAAGTCAATTGGTTCCAATTAGTTGTCGACAATTAGAACCAATTGGGAATCCTATCTGTGATTTCGGACTCCTAGTTAGGAAAAGTCAATTGGTTCTAATTAGTTATCGACAATAGACTACTTCCATAAAGCCCTGCATGCAACACGGCGCACGTTGCACTCTGGGAACTAGTTGGCCAGGGAGGAGGGTGGCATGGTTTCGGTTTCGATCGACACGTCGACAAGAGATTGTTTTCTGGTCCCGAGAGCGTCATTTGTGGTCTCTAAACTAACCTAAATGGTCATACCTCGAAGCTTTAGCACAATCCCGAGACGTATAGCTTGTCTTAACATATGCTTGTTGTATTTTTGTGCTTGAGCCTTCCTGTTAGCGTTCCAATCGAGGTATAAGTGGACGAGCCAGGGCTGGGAGTCTCGACGCTGCGAAGCTCAGGTGCTCGGGGATCTTGCTTGTGTACGAATCAACAAGCTGTAGCAACCAATAAGTATGCATACATCGAGCTCGCGTCTTTACATTAGTGTTGTTGATCAGGAGGTTCGCTTCGTGCGTCCATAGACGAAATATTACTTTTTGCAATTACTGCTTTTCTTAATGTGCTTGAGTACGCGAGGTAAAACTCGGAGGTGCCATTGAAAAGCTCAATTTTAACACACTTATCTCCTATCTGTACTGACGCGCAGCACTGCACGAAGTGAAGTCTCCACCCACTTGCATTCCATTAATATTCAACATCGCGTATGCGCATAAAGTTATCCTGCAATCATATAGGCACATTCGCACATACAGGCCGTTTTAAGAATGCAAAAGTCGAGCACTTGTGTGAAGAATGTCGCACCGTTCGCCGGTAGTGCGTCAGACGGGTATGAACCCCTATGCGCACCGCATTGGGGTTCATGCATGCCCGTCCGGCGCACGGTGCGACATTCTTCAGACAAGTGTTCGAACGAATTCAAAGCGCATTTGACGGCTGCTAATGGCCATAATATTTGTTATGTGTTTGCTTTCTTCCTGCCTGGGTATGCCGAGATAATTTCAGACACACCGTTCCCGGCACAGATCTCGGGCGTCAGTAAAAGCTTGTCCAAAAAGGCTTAGCGAGGAGTAGGGGACGCTTGTTAGGGCC